AATCATTTTTTAGTACAATAAATTAAATAACATGCATTAGATGTTGATGGAAAGAAATGACTATACAATGAAAGAATTGATATTTTTTTTATACAATGAAATGATGGCACTAATGCATGTGAGTAAAAAATCTATATAAATAGACTATTGATGTGCATATGTTAGTATATCTAATACTCCTCTAGTTATTTTTTCACTAATCATGGATTTCAATTCATTAAGCAATGGGATGAATACGGTCCAAACCATCAACAAAATTACGAAATTCCACAAATTATTTTTTAGCTTCAATACTCTTATCTTCGACCACCTTTTTCATTTGGTCCAAACTTTTCTTGTTTTTTTAAACTTCCGACCAATTGGTGGCACACCGTATCTTATGAACCAATCTCCAAATGTTCCGGTTACTTGGGGAAGTGGTTCAAGCCAAAGAAATGATGGTTTGAATATCTCAAGATTTAGCACATAAGTTCCTATTCACAATCTTGATGAACAAGATGATGATAATGTGCAAGTTATCAGTTCTATGGGAGATACAAGAAAAATGTGGAACCCCGAAGAAGATATTCTCTTCGTCAGTAGATGACTCAACACAAGCAAAGATACGATTGTAGGTACTGATCAAAAAACTTCTATTTTCTGAAAATGCGTGGTGGACTATTATATCGAAAAATAAACAAGATCAATGGATTTCAAGAGGCGTATCTCAATGTAAGTCTTGTTGGCATAAAATTAATAAAGCAGTAACAAAATTTGTTGATTGCTATGAGCAAGCTAACCGACAAAAAATGAGTGGACAATCTCAAGATAATGTATTAAATATCGCACACAATATTTATTACGACAATGATCGGAAGTCATTTGTATTTGAACATGCATGACATGATTTAAAAAAGGAACCAAAATGGTAAGGAAATTTCAAAGTTTGTGATGAAGCATCACAAGATGCTAATAATAGTTCAAAGAGGTCAAAAATTAATAAAGTTGGAGGATATTCATCAAATTCTAATCCAACAACACCATGTGGTGGTAGTGATGACAATCCTTATATTGTTCGTCCTCCTGGTGTGAAGGAGAATAAAAAAATGGGGGAAAGAGTATACAAAAAAAAAATAATAATAATAAAAAAAATTCTAACAAATAAGATGAATATTTTTCCGGTATGGAAGCTACACATACACAAACTATGTCATATTTAGTACGTCTTATGGATTAAAAGAAGAAATAATCAAGTAGAAACAAGAACAACAAGAAAGAATCATCTACCTTGAAGAATAAAAGATGAAACAACAATTGGAACAATAAAAAAAAAAATTAATCAAAAAAATATAAAATGTTCAACAATTTACTTGCGAAGGATCAACTAACTTTAAATGAAGAAGTATTTAAGAAAAAATTGTTGAAAGAATTGTTAGAAGATAATTAGAAATTTTGTTTTGATTTATTTAAGAAATTTATTTTTGTGTATTGTAGTTTATGTTTTAAATAGAGCAATCTAGTTTTTAATTATGTAGTATTTGTGTTTATTTTATTATTAATGAAATTTTTTAATACATTTCTAATTAATGTGTATTGCGTTGTAACAACTCCACCAGATGTAGCGCTGGTTGGAGAAAGTAATCTCCTTTTCATGCCACCAAACTTCATATAAGACGCCGGTTGAAATTCTTCTACAAACAATTGAAAAAAATAAAATGCTAGAAAAGTTAATTTTTAAAGCTGAAAGTGTTAATTTGACTATAGTCAAGTGGTGACATCCTTTCTCAGAGCAATTGCAATGGCCTTCGTATGTAAGGTTTTTGTGTCGGATTTGATGTTTTTATTGGAAGATTTTTATTTTTATTTTTTTGTATTTGCCATTGTTGATGCTCTTAAAGAGGTTTCGAATCCGAATTTGAATCTAAATAGTTTCAAAAGATCCACCGCCTCCGCCACCCCTGGATGCATCATCAGCGCCGAAAAGGGCTAGAAAGACCCGCTGGCTCCGAGAGGGTCAACTTTGTTAAATTTGGACAAATCGGTCCCAGATCCGGGAAGACCAGCATCAGCCCTTGTACGGCCTGGAGGATACGCAGAAATACCCTCACCGCCGCGGCTGATTATCGATCCACAGGCGATTGAAGAGATAGTTCGAAGAATATACCGTAATCTCATCCGGCTACTCGCAAGGCCGTACTATCAACATTCATTTTAGAATTAGATCACCGTCAACCATCCTTAAATAAAAAAAAAAAAAACATTGAAATGTCAAACGAATTATGAATCGACTTGCCAATCAACAACTAAGTTTAGCCAAATTCACGACATACACAAATTAATGAATCAACTTGTCAATCAACGGCTAAGTTTAGCCAAATCCATGACATACACAAATTAATAAATTGACTTGCTAATCAACGGCTAAGTCTAGCCAAATCTGCGGCATAAACAAATTAATAACCGACTTTCCAATCAACGACTAAGTTTAGCTAAATCTACAGTATATAGAAATTAATAAACGACTTGTCAATCGACGACGAAGTCAATACAAATCCATGATATACATAAATTAATAATCGACTTGTTAATTAACGACTAAGTCTAGCCAAATCCACGACAAACAAATTAATAATCAACTTGCCAATTAAAGGCTAAGTCTAGCCAAATCCAAGGCTTACAAAAATTATGAATTCTTAATAGCAAGTTCACAATATGTCACATAATGAGATATATTATAAGGACCTATTTAACTAAGACACGTAGTTAGATGGTCAATCATTTCAAATATGCATAATTTAACCCTTTACCTTACTTAGGGGAAGCTACCCCACTCTACTACTACCGACTCGTGGGACTTGGTTCGGTCGGACTTCACCTAATCATCAAATTCGATCAATCAACCTACTTAAATTTACCGCAGATCTTATAAAACTAACCATAAATTCATCATTGGCTCAAACATTATGAAACTAATGCTAAATTAAAGGTAACATTCCTAAGTTATATTTCAAAGACAAAAACTATAATTATTAATTTTAATTACATCCAAAATATCATCTTAACTCAAATAGTTTGTTCACTTAGGAAAAACAAAGCAGTTGTATTATAAAAATCACAAAAATTCCATTTTACATTCAAATGGGACAAACTTGGTCTCTAATGAAAGATAAAACATATATATATATATATTAAAAAATAAACAAAAACACAAAAAAAAGTTCCAAAAAGAATATAATAGAAGTTAAACATACCGAACAGATCATTCGTAAAAAAAACAAGGTGTGTAACTTTAAAATTTTATATACAATTCATTTTATATTCAAATGGAATAAACTTTGTCTCTAATTAAAGGTAACACAAATATATATATATATATATTTAATATGAATCAAAAGTGTGAAAATAGCATCTAAAAGTTACAGAAAATCCGTCGAGCATTCTGTAATATTTTTCTATCAAGAAAATGAATGTATAACTTTAGAAAATCATATAAAATTCATTTGTGTTTCAAATAACTTATATAATATGTCAAAATGAAGATAAAATTACGAAAAATATAAATATGGTTTTAAAACAGTAAGTCCATGATTTAAATAAACTAAATAACTTAAAATAATGTTCATATGTTATGAAATCGAATTTTAAGAATAAAGAATAAGAAGGTATAAAATTTACTCCAAAATCACAACTTGAGTGAGAGACTTGGGTGATGGCTAGGGTTTCCCTAAGAATGTTTGGGGGGATGAAATAAATGTTAAATATAAGAGATAAATTAATATTTTATATTGAAAAATAGAGTTAAAGTCGCATTGACGTTTTTTGAAATCGTATTTGAATACACAACAGACATTTGAATACTATTTTGGTTATAATTCTTTCGTTTGGACTCGGATTGACTCACTGTTTGTGGTGTTGGAATGGTAACTAAAACCTATCCAATGAAGCAAATTTCATAAAAATTAGACATGAGTTATAAAATCCGTTTGAAGTTAACACATTGATAATTAACAACTTTAAGATATTTAGTTAACAAAACATCTAATTGACTAACTCGATTATGGATCGGGTATTACAGTACCGTAACACTTTGGCGATAGTGGACAATAGTAGTCGGACAACATGATCACTTAGGTACATGGTCATTCAAGGATTAAACACATTGTAGTTGAAACGTATTTTGTCTATTCATTCGTGTTAGGCGTTGTTCCACTAATTGGGTTAGCCACTAGTGAGTCTATCGGTAGTTATTAAATATAAAATATTAAATATAAAAATAAAACTATTGTTTTGAGATGTACGAAAATAAAAAAATAAGATATATTTTTCTTTAAATACATACAAGATAAATAAATTTAATTTTAATTTTAATTTACAAAAGAACTAATCCTAACAAATTTTAGAATAATAAATATGGTGTGTATTCTTAGTTTGGATTGAAATAAAAAATTTTAGGATTATTTTAGGATTTGTTTGTTTGGGTTTTGATTTGAATTTTTTTTTTATTATAAATTATAGAAAATTATATAATAATATAAAAAATACTTCCTCCATCCCACATACTATGTCCAAGTTGCCGTTTTTGTCCGTCTCACGTACCATGTCATTTTTCTTTTTTGAAAAATTATTATACACGTTAATCTCATTTCAAATTTTTAAATTTATTTTTTAAATTTTTAATTAAACTAATTAGTTATCAATCTTAACTTATAGGATAATTATTTTTAATTATCTACTAATTACACCCCATAAAATACTGTGTCTGTGTATGTGAGACGGAGGGAGTAATTTTATATTAAATATTGAAGGATAAAATATACATATTAAAATTCCTCAAGAAAAAAAAAATTAAACAAACAACCCTTTAATTTAAATAATATTTATTATAATAATATTTTCTTAAAAAATATTTTTGTAAACACAAAATTTTAATAATAATAAAAAAATAGAATAAAAATTCAAAAGAAATAAAAGTGGCACTCAAAAAATATATTTATTTATAATTTTTGAAAAGTCGTGGGTGAGGTTTTATTACGTACGCAGAGTCGAGTCGGTCTGACGGTAAAGGGTTTTCTACACTGTCATTTATTCATTCCTTCCCCTTTCTCAATCCTTAGGGTTCGAACTCCTTTTCTTCGATTGCACGCCAATTTCTCCGCAACTCCAACCCGATCGTTGCAAATGGTTAGCGAATGTGTTTTGTTATTGATTTCTTTTCACTTTGTTTGAGCGTCCAATTGTGGATCTTGTGGCATGATTTTTCGATTTCGTTACTTTCAATCGTGTAGGAAAATGGAGGAGGTCATTTGGAGGCGAAAATTGAGACGTTGCTTAACGTGGAGAAGCAGATGAGGCAAGCGGGAGATGTCGTGGGCACGCGGAAAGCTGTTACCGATATTCTGCAGCTCTGCTTCGATGCCGGCGCTTGGAAAACGCTCAACGACCAGATTGTGCTCATTTCCAAGCGCCGTGGACAGTTGAAACAGGTTTTTTCGAGTCCTATGCCGCCACTTCTGTATGCCCGTGTCGCCTAATATTGGTTGAAATTATAGTTTTGAATTAGCGAGATGTGTGAATTTATTTTTGTTTTCTGTTCTGAGATCTGGTGTGATGCGATGAACTGCAGGTGCTATATTTTTCAATTAACGTTTTCTTGTAGATAGGCCATAACTAGATTTGATTCTCTAGTCCGGCGTACATTGCATTGTTGATGTTTGTAGGCATACTTTTATGCGTTGATGGAAAATATTATGTGTTAGGTGTTCTTAATAAATTTTACTATGACCTACGTCAAAGTTCTAATCTTGGTGATTGTTGGTAGTTTGTCAGCTTTCCTTCTTTATGGATTGCAGTCATTTGTTATCATCTGCTGCGGTGTAGTAGTTGTGCTCTGTCTTGCTGATTGTGTTTCTCCTCGCCCTTAATATTAGAGTTTTATTGTGTCTATCAAAGATATAAAAAGCGAAAATTATATTTAATTTCTTATGATTCCTGCCATCTCTCTGTAAACGTGTTCTATTATGTGCAAGTTAGTAATGGATGTGTCTTTTCTTTATTTAGTTTCTTGATGTTTGGAGTAACTGATATTATTGTACTTTTTCTTGATATTGTGAAGGCTGTTCAAGCTATGGTCCAACAAGCCATGCAGTATATTGACCAGACTCCTGATCTGGATACCAAAGTAGAGCTAATTAAGACCCTTAACAACGTATCTGCTGGGAAGGTGATTCCTGTGCTGAAAACTTCTCCATAGTCTAGCTGTTGACAACTTTGTTTAGATGTTAATTGGCCAACTTGATGACAGATATATGTGGAGATAGAGAGAGCTCGATTAATAAAGAAACTTGCAAAGATCAAAGAAGAGCAAGGGCTTATAGCTGAAGCTGCTGAGTTGATGCAAGAGATTGCGGTATGTGGAATCAAGTCTTTTTATTAGATTGTTACCATATGATATTTTAGCTCTACTGCATCAATTGTTCTTGGAACTTCAATAGTTTTCTGATAGACTTGTTGTGCAGGTTGAAACATTTGGCGCCATGGCAAAAACTGAAAAAATAGCTTTCATACTCGAGCAGGTATCTGTTTTAATTCATCTACAGTTGATAATTTGTCCAAGTGAGAATGACTCTTGCAATGGGTTAACTAACTTGTTCATTGAATTCTGTAGGTCCGTTTGTGTTTGGATCGTGAGGACTATGTCAGAGCACAAATACTATCGAGAAAGATAAGTCCTAGGGTTTTTGAAGCTGATACTTCCAAAGAAAAGAAGAAGCCTAAAGAAGGTGAGAGTATTGTTGAAGAGCCTCCTGCAGATATTCCGTCATTGTTGGAGTTGAAACAGATTTACTACCAACTAATGATTCGGTACGAACCATTCATTTATTTATGTGCTTGTATGATTCTCCTATTTCTGGAATACTGCTGCATTAGACTGAAGTGTAAGTCCACTCACTCAGTGAACTTCATGTCTAACTAGGAAGTTGAATCCAGAATTTGTCTGGACTTCTATATTTTAGTTTCTATTATATTATGGTGAACCCTTTACTAAAAAAATGGTGTCTCTACTTGTAAGATTATGGCTTTTGGTTTTGATTTTGAATAGTAAAATTTTGAATTGAAATAGTTGTTTGATGTGATATGAATATGTATTGATGTGATTTTTTGAATATAAAATTAGATTTTAGTGTAATAAAATAAATAAAAAATGGGAGTTTGATTTGATGTTTTGGAGGGAAAAGAAAGTTGGAATAGTAACATCAAGGATAAAATCCCACAAGTAAACAGAGCCATGCATGGTACATTTTCAGCGACTTCTGATAATACATTCTTGATGGACCATTAAACAGTTCTTCTGGTAATTTTTTATTAATTCTTCCAAGATTTCTTTTATTTATGCACCATCATTGTCTGAAATTAAGGACTTAAATGTCACAATCCGTACAAATCATTTTCTATTATAGATATGATTTTGGATACTAGAACGTTGTTGTAAAGAGAGCAATGCGGGATTTAGACGATAAAAGTTTATACCTGACTAACTAATTGTGCATATCATGTGAATTCATCTTAAATAACTGAACTAAGATAAAATGTGACGGGAAATGAGATATCAATCAGCTTTCTATATCCTTTCATCCACTCTTCATTCTGGCTAAGGAATTAGCCAATTGTGTGCATGAAGTGATTGAATTTCTTTCACCTGGTTCAGGTATTATGTTCATAGCAATGATTACCTTGAAATATGTCGATGCTACAAGTCCATATATGAAATTCCATCGGTTAAAGAAGACCCTGCTTTGTGGATTCCGGTATGTGCATCTATTATTTTGGCAATACAATGCTTCGACCTTGTAATATTTATTAAGTACTTATCATATATAGGAATTAATATACTTAGCTAAATTTTTTTTTTAATGCATGTTCCTGGCTGAATGTAAGTTGAGTTCTTTTTCCAATATTTGCAGGTTCTGAGAAAAATATGCTGGTATCTGGTCTTGTCACCCCATGACCCAATGCAGTCCAGTCTTCTTAACTCAACTCTGGAGGATAGGAACCTTTCAGAAATTCCTTATTTCAAGTTAGCACTATATGATATCATAATGGTTTCGCTTTCAATTTATTTAGTTGCATATTCTTCCTAATCTTATTGGTATTGCTATCCCTTTCTTTAGATCTCTGCTGAAACAATTAGTTACCATGGAAGTTATTCAGTGGACAGCCTTGTGGGACACATTCAAAGAGGAGTTTGAGAGTGAAAAGACCAGGTTTGGTGGTTCTTTGGGTGAAAAAGCAACCGAGGATCTGAAACTCAGAGTAATCGAACATGTAATGCTCATAGAGCTCACATTCTTTTTACTGTCCTTGAATTATTGCTTCCTAAGATGATTCTACATTTCAACCACCAACAGTGACATTTATGTGTTTATGCTGTAAGTATCGCTAAGATAAAGTGTCTTGCAGAACATTCTTGTCGTCTCAAAATACTACTCACGGATAACCTTGAAGAGACTTGCTGATTTATTATGCCTTACCACCCAGGTTGGTCCGTGTGCTTTGTGAAATATTTTATTTGAAGTTGTATGGGCATTGATCTGTGCCTTCTATTTCCCATATTGTACTTTGATCTCTTTCATTGTTTCAAGTTCGCCATTGCTTGTTAGTTGGATTAAATATTTTTAGATGGTGAAATGTTGGAACAATTTGCAACTGGACAAGGAAATTATATATATATATATATATATATTGAATAGGACCACATGCCTTGGTTCTCAATAACGGTGAAAATTGAAATTGAAATTCAGTTCATGAAATTGTCTTGGTCATTAAATCTGAATTTTCAACATGTTTTGATTTTGTACCATATGTGTTAATGTGTTCTTTTGTTTTTTTTTTTTTTTTTTAAATGGTGATCAAATTTAATGAATTTTTAACTGTATTCATCTGAAATCATCTTGCAAATCCAAATCCTCTTATTCAAACAGGGCCTACGAGAATATGAAATTGCAAATACCTTTGTAATGATTTTGTGACTTCATATTAACAGAACAACCAAATTCTATTAAACTTTGATTGGTGAGTTGGTAATTACCAAAGTGGCACACTCCTAGTACTCATATTTAAGCGCTGGTAATTGATAAGTGAATATGAAATTGCAAATACTTTTGTAATGATTTTTTTGTGACTTCATATCAACTGAACAACCAAATTCTATTAAACTTTGATTGGTGAATCGGTAATTACCAAAGTGGAACACTCCTAGTACTCATATCAAAGCTTTTCTAATTGGTAAGTTGCTCAAAGTAACCTCTTTGTATTCCTGTCGTGTTGCTCTGTTGAATATTTTTCTGTTTTGAAGTAATTGAGTTGCAGAAAAAATATAAATCTGTTTCTTTGGGTTATCTGTGAAGTTTTAATGTTTCTCTTGATTCCTTATGTCATTAGGCATGTATAGCATAGCAGGACAACATAAGATTTGCTGTAACCTCTAAGGTGGAGGCATGAAAAGTTTACATGGGAACTACGATTTCTGTTATTAAAATCTTTGTTAATCATTTATCTTACTTTGGGTTGGCTATACTGATTCCCTTTGCCATTGCACTCCATGGCTGATGCTCTGATCTAGATTTTATATACAACATACCTCTCATAACAGTTTATTCCGCTTCTTTCTAGGTCTTCTTTTGCTTTTAGTACGACTTAATCTTCTATTATCTACTTCTCACATAGGCATTTACAACTCTTATTTTCCTGACCAAATGTTAGTTGTATTTCTTCTTTTTCTCTTTGCCTTGATTGAGCACTCCCACTATAATGGAAGTGCTTCCCTCTTCTAAAAAAAGTTTATTTTGAAACTGACAGCCAGTTATTCTTTCTACATCAGTGAATACTTTGATTTACTATTTATAGGCGACATCCTCGTGAAATGCTGCTAACCTTTTTGATCGTTTCTTTTTCTTGAGTTTCTGATAGTTGTTCCTTTGGCAATATATTTCTATCTTGCGGTTTCTGTTTGAGCTGCAATATAAATGATACACATGATATTGTCTATGTTAACTGCTATGGCCACCATCTAACATAATGTGCCAACATGTTTGGATGCTAATTTGATCATTATATATATAAAAATAAGATTTAACTTTCTCCCTTTTTCTCAGAGGAAATCTGCATGACTTGAGCATTTGAGTAAAACTCCCAATAACATTGCTGAGAAACATATATTCATTATATGTTGATCATATCATATCCGTTTCACCTGGCATAACTTATATTTTCATTTCTTTCTTCTCACAGGAGGCTGAGAAACATCTCTCTGATATGGTTGTGTCGAAAGCCCTGGTGGCGAAGATTGACAGACCCATGGGGGTTGTATGTTTCCAAGTCGCCAAGGACAGCAATGATATTCTAAATACATGGGCATCGAACTTGGAGAAACTGCTCGACCTTGTAGAGAAGAGCTGCCACCAAATTCACAAGGAGACAATGGTTCACAAAGCTGCTGTGCTCAAAGTTTGAAATGCCGGATGCCATCTAGAACAAAATCCTTAAATTTTTTTTGTAAGTGCCGACTGTGATGACACTTTTTTTTCGCTTGGTTATGATTTTCGGTATGACTTAATTTGGCAGGCAAGGTATGAATTATATATCCTCCATCATTCTATTGATTTGGGACGCACAGATTTTCGCCATAATTCCTTTGCTTTGCTGCACATCATTTGGCCTTTGGCATTAAATCATAGTGGTTCTGTTCTAGTGATGTTTGAAGCTGTTTCTTTCCTTGTTTCTTGAAAACCATTTTATTGCAAAAAAAATCATGTTGACATTATTTTGCAGAGGGCAGGGCACAATGCTTGTCGTGTTGTATATTCTCATGCTACTGTTTATTTTTTAGGCTAAATTGCACAAAATTCACGTGTAGTTTTATGAAATTGCGTATTTCTAAAATTGCATCAAATACTATTAAATAAGAATCGCAGCTTTAAAAGTATGAGAAATTTGGCGCGACTACGTTTTGTGCAATTTAGCTTATTTTTTTATAATAAATGCCAGGCGACACATTAGAAGACTAGAGTAGGTTTGGTAACAAGTAGGTTGGTTTTGCCTGTGATTTATTATGATGTCAATATTTTAGAAGACTAGAGTAGGTTTGTTAACAGGGTAGGTTGGTTTTGCCTGTGATTTATTATGATGTCGGATATTTTGAATTAAAATTTTTTTTTTTAAGGTAATACTAAGAATAACAAAATATTTATCTGATTTAGAGTGTGTTTTTTTTTTGAAAAAACAGTCTACACTGTAAAAATAAAAATATCCAACACATCTTTGATTTTCTCAAAAAAAATAAAATAAATTAAAAGATATTCATTACATTCATATTTTAAATTTGATCATACCGCATATTATATTAAAAAATCTTCAAATTTAAATTTATTTATCAGTATTATTGTATCAAATTTTTACACAAAATAATACTCTAGTTGTTACTATTTGTTAAATTTTCATGTAAAAATCAAGTATAAATGATGAACAAAAAGAGTAGAATTTAAATTTGAAACACACAAACAAACACAAGCTAACATGTTTAGATTTTTGAAAGAGTTTTAAAAAAAAAAATTTAAAATAGAATTTTGATACATTATACTATAAAGAAGTATAATATTTTAATATTTTTTTCTTAAAAAAATAAAAAATAATATAAAACATATGTTTAAAAAAAAGTCACAGACTTCCATAGGAAGCCAAAGTTTCAAAATTCAAAAATTCACAAGCCTCGTCTCAAATAAATTACAGGAATTCACAGCTCAATGTGGTCCAAAATCCTTGACGAAAAAGCTTGCAATGAAAGCCTGAAAGTTAATCCGCCAGACTCTATTAATTAATAAATAATAAATAAGAATAATTATAATATCCACCATTACAGACGATCAGTTGTTCTTCATATCCCCACCACCGCTCTCTCATATCATATCCCCATTTTTGCGCCACTCACGAAACCCTCCTCCAATTGGGCGGGAAAACTTCAAAACTCCCGAATTTGTTAAGTTCCCTCCAACCCTAACTCTATAAATATCGCATTTTGCTTTTGCTACTGCAGACAGCGGCGGCGTGATAGACGTAAGGGTAAGAGTAAAAGAGGCCAAAATGTATGTGGTGAAGAGGGATGGGAGGCACGAACCAGTTCACTTCGACAAGATCACTGCCAGATTGAAGAAGCTGAGTTACGGGCTTAGTAGCGACCACTGCGATCCCGTTTTGGTGTCCCAGAAAGTTTGTGCAGGCGTCTACAAAGGGGTCACCACCAGTCAACTCGATGAATTGGCCGCTGAAACCGCCGCTGCTATGACGGCCAGCCACCCCGATTATGCTTCTGTGAGTTTGATTTTCTGTTTGCTCTGACTCTGTTTTTGTGATCGGGTACCCTGATTTGTTTTATTTCTTTCTGGAAATTAGAGTTTTACATGTCTAATATTGGTTTCATGGTCTTTTGTAACTCACTTTCAATTATCAATTTTGATATTGGGTTTTTACGTGATTATGCTTCTGTTGGTTTGATTTTCTGTTTAACTCTCTCCTTTAACTTTGTTTTTGTGATCAGATACTTTGATTTCTTTCTGGAAATTAGAGTTTTACATTCTAGTCTTCTGTCATACACTCTTCGATTTTGATATTGGGTTTCTTCTATTGGAAATTATATGTCACTTTCGTTTAGATCTGCTTTGATTAGAAATTTGGCGCTGACTAGTGTTATTTTCTTTGGTGTGCCTGTGAATGAAATTTTAATATTGGTTTGTAATTTTCCAATTAACCTTTTTAACAAATTAACAATGGTATGATGCTATGAAATGATGCAGTTGGCTGCCAGGATTGCTGTTTCAAATCTTCATAAGAACACCAAGAAGTCTTTCTCTGAAACGTAAGTCAATCATCTTTTAATTGCATATTTTTTCTTCTTTGTTTTGTTATTATTATCGTTGTTCATTATATAATATGATGTTGCAGGATAAAAGACATGTATGGCCATGTCAGCGAAAGGTCTGGACTTAAGGCTCCCTTGATTTCAGATGAAATTTATGAAATTATAATGAAGGTATTGATTTAGTGTTTTTGTGATTTTAAAATTGTATGAATTATCATCCATTTAGTGAAGTTTTTGGCTTATTTTCTATTGAATTGTTTTCACATTAATGTTGTTTTGTTTTTCATTTTAACAGAATTCAACTCGTCTTGATAGCGAAATCATATATGACAGAGACTTTGACTACGACTATTTTGGGTTCAAAACTCTAGAAAGATCATATTTATTGAAACTTAATGGGAAGGTTGTCGAAAGGCCTCAGCATATGCTTATGAGGGTTGCTGTTGGCATCCATAAAGATGACATTGAATCAGCAATAAGTACATATCATCTACTGTCCCAGCGCTGGTTTACTCATGCGTCTCCCACACTTTTTAATGCTGGGACACCGAGACCACAAGTATGAACATTGTGAATACTCAATACTATCATGCATTTCCATATATCTTTGCAATTATAGTTATGATAAATAATAATTTTGTTTGTTGATTGGGGATGTGATTCTTTTAATGTGCAGCTTAGCAGCTGTTTCTTGATATGCATGAAAGATGATAGCATTGAGGGTATATATGATACGTTGAAGGAGTGTGCTGTTATCAGCAAATCAGCAGGAGGAATTGGTGTTTCGGTGCATAACATCCGTGCTACAGGAAGTTATATACGTGGAACAAATGGAACATCAAATGGCATTGTCCCAATGCTTCGTGTGTTCAATGACACTGCGCGTTATGTTGATCAGGGAGGTGGCAAGAGAAAAGGTACTTAAATGTTTTTCCTATTCATGAATCCATTGTTCCTATTGAATTTTATGTTTACTTGCTTTATGTGATGATGATAGGCGCTTTTGCTGTATATCTTGAGCCGTGGCATGCCGATATCTTTGATTTTCTTGATCTGAAGAAAAATCATGGAAAGGTATAGATAGATTTGTTTAAAATGTGTATTTGTTGTTCCTATTTTAGTCTTTCAGTGTCTTTCCTAATAATCTTGATATATATTCCATTTCTTTTCATCTTTTCAGGAGGAGCATCGTGCAAGGGATTTGTTTTATGGTCTGTGGATACCTGATCTGTTTATGCAAAGGGTTCAATCTAATGGGCAATGGTCATTGTTCTGTCCCAATGAGGCTCCCGGACTTGCTGATTGCTGGGGAAAGGAATTTGAAGCTTTGTATGCTCGGTATGAAAAAGAGGTAGGCAGCCAAATTTAACTATGCTTTATGATGCAAGTTTTTTAATATCTTGAATAGTAGTTTCTGAATAATTACTTTTCATGTATGAATGCATACAGGGTCGGGCTAAGAAAGTTGTACAGGCACAAAATCTGTGGTTTGAAATTTTGAAGTCCCAAATTGAAACTGGAACGCCTTATATGATGTACAAGGTTAGCTAATGTGAGGAAGCTTCATATGAATCATTATTTGTGCTATGTTAACACTTTTGTTATATATTCTTAACTTTTGCAGGACAGTTGCAACCGGAAAAGCAACCAGCAAAATCTTGGGACCATAAAATCTTCAAACTTATGTACTGAGATAGTTGAGTACACAAGTCCTAGCGAGTCTGCTGTCTGCAATTTAGCTTCCATTGCATTGCCACGATATGTTAGAGAAAAGGTTAAATCTCAACACTTTTTGGCTTAATTGCTTGCACATTGTCCTGTTTATTTATTTCTAGATTTACTTTTAATTGCAGGGTGTCCAGATGGAATCACAGCCCACCAAACTTGTTGGTAGCATTGGCTCCCAAAATCGATATTTTGACTTCGACAAATTGGCTGAGGTATTATTTATATGCTAATATGTACTAACATTGAAATACTTTCCTCTACTATTGAGCATTCTTCTGTTTCTGCAGGTCACAACAATTGTTGCAAAAAACCTTAACAAGATCATCGATGTTAATTACTATCCAGTTGAGACTGCAAAAGCATCTAATTTGCGCCACAGGCCAATTGGAATTGGAGTGCAGGGTCTTGCAGACACTTTTATCTTGCTTGGCATGGCTTTTGATTCTCCTGAGGTAAAACTTACTGGCAATTGTACTTTTTTCTCTGCACTTAGATTGAATCACATTTGATTTTTGAGTTTGATTGCAGGCCCAACAATTGAACAAGGATATATTTGAAACCATATATTATCATGCACTAAAGGCGTCATGCGAACTAGCAGAGAAAGAAGGTCCCTATGAAACGTATGCTGGCTCTCCTGTTAGCAAGGTAAACCTTGTGGGAATTTCGTACTTTATTGTTGCATTTGTAGCTTGCTTGATTGACATTTTTTTTATTGAAGACTATATTATTTGTTTTGTTTATGATTTTTGAAATGCTAAAAAAAACTCTGTAAAAGAATCAACAAACAATTCTTGTCTTATTGAAAACAAGTGTCCTGACTGCTGAGTTAAGTAAACAAATTTTTGAGGACATGTAGAAGGGGAAATGGCACCTGATGCTCTGTTTTGCAACAATGGCTTTGAATCTTTCAGGGTATCCTTCAGCCAGATATGTGGGAAGTGAAGCCTTCTGATCGATGGGATTGGGATGCTCTTCGGGCCAAGATAGCTGAAAAAGGAGTGAGAAATTCACTTCTTGTGGCACCCATGCCAACTGCTTCAACAAGCCAGATTCTTGGAAACAATGAGTGCTTTGAACCGTACACATCCAATATCTACAACCGCCGAGTTCTAAGGTTTTGTTTATCTACATTCTCGATTTATTTATCAACATGTCTCTTTATTGACATGCTGTAGCCTGATTTTGGTTGCTAATGTAATTCTCAGTGGCGAGTTTGTGGTGGTTAACAAGCATCTGCTTCACGATTTGACGGAGATGCGCCTTTGGACTCCTGCCGTTAAGAACAGGATAATTTATGACAATGGATCAGTCCAAAAGGTCCCTGAGATTCCTGAAGAACTCAAAGGAATCTACAAGTATGTGTGCATTCATCAAAGTTGCATAAACCAACCTCTATCCATGTGTTATTTCATTTTTTATTGTAGACATGTATATATGATTGTTGCAGGACGGTTTGGGAGATCAAACAACGGGTGTTGGTGGATATGGCTGCTGATCGAGGGTGTTACATTGATCAGAGCCAGAGCCTGAATATCCACATGGATCAAGCTAGTTTTGCAAAGCTAACGTCGCTGCATTTCATGGGATGGTCGAAGGTAAGCTACTTCTGCATTTCCTGCTCATCTTATCCAACTGAAATGGTCGGTATGGTATTTAAATATAATTATGTATCTTGGAATAATGCAGGGATTGAAGACTGGAATGTATTATCTCAGAACACGTGCTGCAGCAGATGCAATCAAGTTCACAGTTGATACGACAATTATAAATAATAATAGTAATAATAAGAATGTAGGTGAAGGAGCTTGGCTTAGCTTACTTACAGTTCAGTTAGATCCAAAAGTGAATTAATTTAATTTGTGTTTAGTTGCAGGAGAAGAAGGATGAAGATGATGACAAGTCAAAGATGGCACAGATAGTTTGCTCTTTAACCAACCGTGATGAGTGCCTCGCCTGTGGAAGCTAAAGAAGCCCACAACACACCAGACAAGTGTTTCTAAAATGAATGGTATTTAGTGGGTAGGGGTTATATATAATATGATATAGTATAGTATGCATGCATTCATGTAAGTAAAGATGGATTGATAATGGTGTTTATTACTTCTTCATGTTATTTCATATATATATATCTTCACTCTCTGTCTGTTCTTTAGTGTGTTTTATGTGGCTCATGTTCTTCAGTTTAATCTAATCCACTGCTAAATGTTATTATTGATAAAATAATTGATGATCATGTTCATGTTTGTATAGAGCAATGAGATTTGATTTGATGGTAGAGGAGATATATGTAAACATTAATTGACAGCAAGTGGTTTCTATGCCGTACACAGGATTCTAAACTTAAATAGCAATTATAATTTGATTGGATCAAATTGCAATTGATGTATTTTCACTTTGGTTCAATTGGGTACACTAATTGCACTTTGATTCAATATTTATACACAATGAACCAATCAATCAATCCCAAGACAGGAAGGAGTTCAGGAATCAATTATAAGCACAAACTTGTAATTTCATTTTTTATGGTAGACTGAATCCTAATATATATATATATATATATATTTTGTCTTTGTTTGGGTTGGATATAGTTGAATGGATATGATATTTGTGATTTTTCACGTGCTGAGATGTATGATGTTCAAGATCGGCTTTTTTTCTGAACTTATGAAAATCGAATATGAAACTTCGTATATCTTAAAGTTCATAGGACAAAAGAAAATTTTTGAGAATTTTAAAATTACTATTTTTATTATTTTCGTTAAAGTCACATTCAAAAGTATTTATTTATAATTATAGTAAACATAATTACATTAGTATCAAAGTACCTATTAATTTTTACATATATTAACATACAATTATTTTATACTCTCTCTGTTTGCAAGGTTATCGTTTACTTTTTGTAAGTAGATTTTTGAATATTAGTATTATAATTGGTTGTAGTGAAAAAGGCAGAAATATTAGTATTGCGTAATATAAAAAAGTAACGACATTTGTGTAATATAATGTAAGTTGAAAGGGTATTTATTATGTTAGTTAGGTACTACAATTACTAAATTAGGAAATGGTAACCTTGTTTTGGGATGGACGAAAACCTTTCAATGAGACAAATGAAGTAAAAAGTATTAAAAGCAAAATTGTCAAAATTATCTTACACATTTCCACTAACCAATAAAATATTATTTCCACCCCTATAAACTAATATTTTATTTTCTTATTTGTAACGTTCAACAACTATTGTCTTATTTCTCTTTTAAACACAATTTTTACTTTTTTTACCTTTCATTTATTTATCACTTTTAAATTTTACTTTACTATAAAGAATAAATTTATCACTTCATAACAGAAAATAAAAAATAAAAAATTATATAAACAACCATATAAATATATTTTGAACAATATCAATTAAACAGAGAGTATTATTTCTTAATTTATTATTACAAAATCTCAAATGCCGTTTTAGATTGGGACATAAAAGTATTGCATTAACGGATCATTACATTCAATTTTTTTTAAAATATTTTTTTATTCAAATTGCAACATCAAATAATATATATATATTTAACTTTAACTAACTATTAACCAATACACTGTTGCTACAAAAATTAATTTACAACTAAATATCAACTCAGTTAAAAAAAAAAAAAAAAAAAAAAATCCAACTCAAGTTATAACTTGCAACAAAAGGTATCCTGAATTTTTTTTTTATTATTTTTAACCATGTTTCAATATTATTCACTTTCCTTCAGAAAATAATATTTTCATTTTTTTTTATATATAATGTTCAGAGCATATACAATAATTTTATACATATATATGTTTTTTTAAAAAAATGCCTTTAAGGCTGACGTGAATTTGAAGTGTCATTGAAGTCTCTGACACAAAGTATTTTCAAAATATTAAATATATAATGACTTCAAATTATTGATGAAATATAATGGTTTGAAAAGAAGTTTTGATTATACCTCGCCTACCACCCACGTCGAGCATACTCCCCACTTTGGGAGCACTCCCTTCTGGAATGTCCAATTCCTATGCTTTTCCTTGACGTGCTCACATACATGCTCCTTCGTCCAAGCAATGGCCCACTTGTTCGCTTCGTTCGCCACCACCGTCAAAGTCTGCTCTGATACCATATGTAACGTGTCCGAAAACTGACACATCCGGCGCTTAGGCCACGCCCATGTTGAAGCCCAGACCAGCCGTCCCCTGTGCGTAACACGCTCAGGATATACCATACAGTATGGACCATGGTTTGCTGGATCAGTCAGGACCGTTCCGGATCAATACAAAAATCCGATTTTTTAGATAGGATTTTTAATCCACACAAATCTTATCTAAAACTCATTCTTATCCATTTCATTACCTATTTTTTCTCTTGTAGCTCGCTTCCACTCTCTGTCCTGGCGGCTGGACGAAGAATAATTGTTGTTGGTGAATAAGGTAGGTTTTGGGTATCTATCGTGTTGGGGAAGGTGAGTTTTAGGAATCGTCTTTGTGGTGGAAGGGTTGGAGAAAAAATTTCACCTATTGAAGAAAGATTGTTGGTATTGTATAGAAAAAAACTCAGCTTTGACGGGTATTAGAGATTTGGGGAGGAAGAACTGGAGATTCGCTGAGGAATAAAGACATGTGATAATTATATATATTATTACTTTAATTAATTTAGATTTTTTAAAATACAGTCTAAAATTAATTTTGTTACTTAATTTTTGGATTGAAATTAATGTTGAATTATTTTAATTGATTGATTTATTTAATTGATAGGTTTAATTATTTTAGATTGTATTTAATTTTATTTAATCTATATAAAGGCAGTTTTATTAAAATTAACTTTGTTTATACATATATATAATTTTAATAAATATATATTCTAAGTCTAAGTTTTACGAATTAGTTATTTAGTAAATTTTTGTATAAATTTGATTTATTAGTAAAATAATATGTATAATTTGTCCAATTAACTAATAAATTACTACTTATAAATATTTTAACAATTTTATTATTCAATTGCAGAGTTTGTGTAAAATAACACTACATAAAGATATTGGTTAGGATCATGCTACGCAATGATAGAAAACAAGCAAAATGCAATTATTGTGAAAAAATTGTTCACGCTGGGATTACTAGGATGAAACAACATATAACACATGTTACAGGTCAAATTGAAGCATGTACGAGAGCTCCAAAAAAAGTAAGAAAGTTACTAAAAAACACTTGATCCAAGGAAAAAGTATTGAGCAGCAAATAAAAAAAATTAGAAGCATTGCACAATTCCATTCGTTTGAAAGATGATTCTGACGAGGAAGAAGATGAAGTTTTTGAAATAAATGAAGATGGGGTAGATGCTCTTGAAAGAAAACAATTAAAAAGAGCAATAACTGAAAACAGAAATATGAAATTTATAGAGCAGCAACGTAGACTTTCTGTATCAAGAGATATACCAAGCTTTTAAAGCAGGTATATTTATTGAATTTTATAAAATATATTTAAATATTAGTATATTTCTTTTGAAATAACAACTATATATAATCATATATTTTTTTATCTTTGTAGGAGGAAACAGTTCGAATACAAAAGGAGCTAAAAGAAATTTTTTCGAAAGCTATACGAGAAAGACAGAAGGTTTGCATCAAAAAAAGCTTAATCCATACATGTTTCAATTGAAGAATAAGTCTTTTAAAAGTATGTTTTTAAAAGATAATGCGAAAAAGGTGGGTAGAGCAATTTCGAAATTTTTTTCATTTTAATGTTATACCATTTCACACTACCGATATTGGTCCTTACTATCAAACAATGATTTACACGATTGCATCCGCTGGACCTGGAGTTAAAGGGCCTCCTGGTAAGCAAATTTGGGAGTGAATATTTGAACGAGGAGATTCAAGAAGTTGTACAATATGTTGATTCTTTAAAGCATAAATGGAAAACATATGTATGTATAATTATGTGTGATGGTTGGAGTACTCGCACAAAACATTCAATCATAAATTTTATGGTGTACTGTGACAGAGATATGATATATCACAGTTCGTTCGACTGTACGAATAAGGTAAAGACTGCAGAATTTGTCTACACCCTAATGGATAAGGTTTTGGATTCAGTAGGGGTTGACAATATTGTATAAATCGTAATTGATAGTGAAGATAGTATAAAGGCTGTTGGGAAAAAACTGATGAGGAAAAGGAAACACATTTTTTGGTCTTCATGCACTGCGCATTGCATTGATTTGATGTTAGAGGACATCAGAGATATAGTCGGTGAAGGATGCGATAAAAGAAGCCAGAAGAATTACAGGATTTATATACAACAGTAATAAAGTGGTTAATTTGATGAAAACATATACGAATGGTCGAGATCTGTTGCGACCAGGCATATAAGATTTGCAACCGAGTTTGTTGCAATGGAAAATCTTCTGAGATATGCAACTGACTTGAAAAGAACGTGTACTTCTAGAGAATGAGTTGAGTACAATAATACCTCGAGAAGAAGATATGAAGTTGGAGATATATCAGACATGATTCTGAATGAAAAATTTTGGAAACGGGTACGCCGAATTTGTGGGGTCATGGAACCTTTGGTGAAGGTTTTAAAAGTGGTTGATCAAGATAAAAAACCTACACTACCTATCATTTATAAGGCAATGAGGCAATGGATAGGGCAAAAATGATAATTAAAACCGCAGTGAAAGATTTTCAGCAATATTGGGATATCATTGATGAAAGATAATATAACCAATTGCATCAAGATTTGCATGCTGCAGGTAATTATTCTGTTTTTTTTTTCGTTTATTTTATTTTCTAATTTTAAATATATTTTATGCAGCTTATTTTTTAAATCCTGGACTTCAATACTCTGGCACTTGTGAATTTGATTCATCGGAGGTTCGAAAAAAGTAAAAGAAGTTATTAAAAGACTCGAGTCAGATTTGGATATACAAGTAAAGACTATGAATGAAGTAAAATGTGTGAAACTTATAAATAATATTTCAAATAAAATAGTTTGAGCATTTAAGAAATATATATATATATTTGTGCATTGTTATGAAAACATATATATATATATTAATTTCTAATAATTTTACATTATATTGTTTATAGATAAATACATTTGTTAACAAAATTGGAGAATTTGAAAGTGCACTTGCTATTAGAGTTGTAGCTACATCTTTACTAGGTATGCATTATAAAAGTTATCATTCAATTATACTTTTTTAACATGTTACAATATGTTGCATTATTATTAATTTTTTTTACCATTTTTAATAGCTGGCTGGTGGAATATGTATGGTGATGAAACCCCTAATTTACAGAAAATTGCATTAAAAGTTTTGAGTCAAACATACACATCATCTGGTTGTGAGCGCAATTGGAGTATGTGGTCTTTGATCCATACTAAACTTCGGAATAGATTAGCTATTGAGAAACTACGTAAGCTAGCCTGTGTCCACTAAAACATGCGTATTCGGGTGAAAAATTTTATGCAAAGGACAAACACAGATGATTTCTACGACCCGATTGATTTGAATCATATTTTTTATGAGAATGATATTTTAGATGAATGGGTCAGAGAAAATGAATCTCCACTTATCCATGATAGTGATTTGAGTTGGTTGGATGAGACTATTGATGAAAGTGGAGATGAAAGTGACAGTCAGCGTAATGATCATGATAGCGATATATTTTTATCTCAGTTTATAGCCGATGGAAAAAAGAATGCCGAAGAGAAAAAATTAGAAAAAAAAATATGAGCAAGAAAAAAAAAAAGCAATCATATTGAAATCTTCATATTTATCAACTAACGGTGAAGATAAGAATAATAGCAACGGTGATGATGATGATGATGGTGGTGGTTATGGTAGTGGTGGTGGTGGTGGTGGTGTTGATGATGGTGGTGGTGGGAGTGGGAGCTACAAGGATAGTTGATACTCAAGCGATATGTGATGGACTCAAGGAAATGAAAATTATTATGCTACCCAAGACACTGATCATGGATATCGTCCTAGATAGAAGCTCAAAGAGATTTTCTAAATAGTTTAATAGAATTTTCAAGTAAAACCGATGCTTCAAATTTTTCAGATACTAGGAGATATTCTGAAGTTCACAAACATATGCAAGATTTGAATATAGGTTATTCTTATGGAGATTCTTCCCACAATTCGAGTTCGAGTAATAGATTGGGGAGACAGGAGTGGAACCAACCAAATGCATATCATCATCCCTATTACTTGGGATACAGTTTATCTAATCTACCCATACATCTTCAGGATTCAGCCAATCTTCATATCTTTGGATCCAACCAATTGGTTGGAACATATTATGAACGGATTACATCTGGTTCGGGTAGTATTGATGATCATAGACAAAATTTTGTTTCATCAAGCAGAAGCAATAATAGTACAAAATATCGAGGTTTTGATGTATATGGAAGGGGTTCATTTAGAGAAGGATATTTATACTATGATCGATCAGAAGATGGAAATGGTTTTGAAGCTCCACGACCCTCTACAAGGTATTAAATGATAAGTATAAATGTTTAACATAAACATAGTTCAAACATCTTATAAAATTTTATTTCTAATTTTTATTTATATATAACAACTTGATGTTGCTTGAATTTAATTTTACTTATAAAGATTGTTTAATTTCAGGGGACGGCCATGGTATGAGCCAGAATGGTGGAAATTTGGTGTTGAGTTTCAATGTAACAATCTTAGACTTTGGAATTTTTATCTAGGTGAAAGTCGGTTGCTGTTTTTTTGTTAAAAAATCTGACATTTAGCATTCATGTTGTTGGTCTTTGATGCAGTGCATCTTAGAGACATATGCACATGATGATACCTTTGTTGGGTCTTGGATAATAGGACTTTAGGCGACCTATACAGAGTCTTTGTTGTAGTTATTCATGAGCATGGAGATATTTGGATTGTTAAGTTTTTTACATGTCCTAGGATTTATGGAGTGCATAGGGTGTTGTCTAATATTTATTGTATACGGTGGAATTGCTAACAAAATTTGTTCATCAGTTTGAGAGGTTAACAGTTTGAGGCATACACTTGCCGTGATTATTTTCTTTAATGTTATATATTTTAAAAAATGATTATGTTTATGATTTGATGTATTTTAATTGCTTATTATTATTTTTGTTTAAAATACAAATTTTTGTAAAAAATAATCATATAGGCCGATATTTGTCTGAGACGCCGCGACGTATCTGGAACAGTAAGGGCCGATCCGTGACGGCGAACATGGTATGGACTGCTCAAGACATCTTTCATAGTGTCTCATTTACACACTTCTATTAACCAATAAAATATTACTATTTTTGTCGTTTTATTTTCGTATTTGAAGTTTCATATTTGATTTTCATAGGTTCTGATACATCTGAAAAATCGAAACCAGCCTGAATATTATACATCTCAGCAAGTGAAAAATCCCCTTTTTTTTATTTTTTTTAAATGAAGTTCCGTCACAACATTCAGTCAAAGCCTGGTATATGTAACAACATAGATGCATCATGAAGAAACCACAAATGATAATTTTTTATCATCTTGGGACTATAATATTCGTTTTTGTTTTTGTTTAATATTTGATTTCGTTTTTATTATTTTATAATAGAGGACATAATTTTGACCGTTAAGAAATCATAATTACACCTACATAAAAATTTTCATGTAGAAGAAAGAGTAGAATAGTTGAAAGAAATGAATAGATGAGGATCCTAAATATGTTGAAGTCAACAAATTTTCTTGAATTCAAATTCAAATGTTAAATTCTTTTTTAATAGTAAAATTTTGAATTAGAAAATTATTTGATATCATATAAATATTTATTAATATAATTTTTTAATATAAAATTAAATTTTAATGTAATAAAATAAATAAAAAATAAATATTTAATTTAATATTTTTTTTTAAAAAAAAATAATAATAAAATTAGAGATAAAAATCTACAAATAAACAGAGCCTATATAGTGCTATATAACACATTTTTAACAAATAGCATATAAATGCAGTATGTGTTGTATATAATACCAAACGACTAGAAACACGCCCCATATAATTCTCGGTCAGTTTCACCTTTTTAAAATTTGTATTAATACTTTCTAGTAGAAAGTACGTTGAGCTTCAGTAGTAGTACTTTCTTCGGCCTTACGCTTACTCCACCGCGCGGTGGGGTGGGGTGCACTGTGCAGTGCAATATCCATCTATCTTGTCATCGAATTTTCAAATTCTGGATCTTGTACTAAATTCCCGACAGAACAGGTGGTGCAATCTCAGAGCATTCTGCTATTTTTGGTATCAATGGCGGAGGAGAAGGATGCCACGTCGGTGCCGCTGAGTCAAGGCAGCGGTGTTCACGAAGAAGGACGAGATCCCGAAGATCCGCTAAAGCCAGCCCCCAATTCTCCCGATTCCTCCACTCGTAGGGTTGGTTGGTTTTCATTTACCAATTTTTTCGTATATAAATACTTAGAACATATATGCATTTGTAGTCACAATTGCTAGGGGATATTTATTTATCCTCTGGATTAAGGGTTGACTGAATGGAAAGCTTGGCGGATTTTTTCGTTTGAATGATGAATTTCCTATCCGGATAAGGAAAGTAATTGACATTAGTTAATTAGCTCCGAAATGAATCTATTTTGATTTCTTGAGTTCAATCCTTCTTAATTTAATGGGTTCAAGTTTGCCACCATTTTTTCAGTACTGCATTCTGATAATTAGATTGTTAAATCCATTTTGGATCGATTCAATCAACTTTGTTATTTGTCTAGGGATGCGATATGCTAAGAGATCGTAATACCTCGACTTAGTTCTCTAAATTTTATACCCCATCATCACCAGAATGGAAAAATAGCATTTAGTTGTAGCCTTCGTAACCCTAATATTCAACATTGTCATAAAATTGGCTAAATGTACTACAACGCAAACCAGATTCCATGTATGATGAAGCTCCTACTGCCTTGTTAAGTAATGAAATTAATGCCCAAATGCAGGAGAGCTAATACAGGCTTATAATCCCTCCCATTTTAGTGAGCAGGCTAATCGGGTGTAGATAGGGAAAATCAGCATAGTGATTTTTAGATATAGTCGTCTGTAGTTCAACATGCTGAATTTATATATGAGAGATTTGTTTGGTTAAAAATGGAATGATGTTAAATATTTATATATGAAATGCTGACCATGATATAAAAGATGCTAAGTACTATTAATTTAGCTGTCCAATAACAAGACTTTAATTGAATTATTATTCATCTACTGTTTTATTTTGTTGAATTTGCTATCTATAGATACATAATAGGCTGTTTTGTTCATATCAAATTGCTGTCACTGAATAAATAAATCTGTGTTCAAATATTGATTTATTCAATTTTCTGATCATAGTTATATGGTATGTTGAATTTAAGTATATGAAATACTAACTTTAAGTATTAAGGATGCTGCATGTTAATCAACATTGTGTTTTAGAAAAATCCCCCTCCCAAACTTCTGACTCTTTTTCTGTCATTTCTTCGAATTTTCCTTACATCCAAAGACTAAAATTAATCCTAAATTCTGCCAATATTATGTCACTGTGATATCACCAAAATAGTTCGTACACATGGAATTAGCTGGTTATATGAAAACCCGAAGATGAGGGGTGAATGCTTGGAGCATTATTTCTTTGGGAATATTCCATGTTTTCTGCATCATTAATAGGTTATGATCTCAACCAATATACAATACTGTTGGCCCATAACACATAACAGCACACATTCATAGACCAGAATCCTTGACTAGTTGATTGTTTGTCTTGCAGGCTGCGAATAGAAGCTCTACCCTTACATAACTAGATTCCAATGTTGTGTATGCAACTAAATTTTCTAAGAGTGTGTTTGTTTGGGGGATTTTTTCCAATTTCCCCTATTTATCAAAATTTTTCCCCCAAAAACATCAAATCAAACACCTATTTTTCATTTTTTTATATTATACTAAAAATCAATACATTCAAAAAATCGCATCCAACACTTATTTATATCATATTATACAACTATTCCAATTCAAAATTTTTACTATTCAAATCTCAACTCAAAATACAAACCCCCAAACAAACACACCCTAAGTGAAAAATGAAAAAGATCAGGAAAGTAGTTCTGTAAAGGATATATATACTTAGCTTCAACAAGATTGTTCTGATTTTTTCTTTCTCTATGTGGACAATACAAAATGAAAATAGAATAGAACCAAAAAATATACTCGATCTTCAATATCATGTGTGTACCTGAACAGTATACTTGAATAAAGCAACAAGCAGAATGATTTTTTATCCTCTCTCTATATATCAGTATTTTCCATGCCTTGCTTACATTAAAACACAATCACATTCTAAATCTCTTTCTGTTGTTTTGAAAGTGAATTTCACTTTTTATTTTTTATAAAATAATGATTATTGTATTGGATTTCATAAGCTAGAGTATCTTGTTGATTTTATGGTCTTGAGTTTGGTGATTAACTACATTTAGAGAGCATTAATTTGTTGATGAATTTTGATGAGAAGGTCGTAAGTGTATCTGCATGATGGTCACTACATTGTTAAGAGTTCACATCTTGGTGCTCCTGTTAGTAGTTTTATCCGCAAGCTTCCTTGTATATGCTTAATTATTTTAAAATGTTAAACTCCAAGCTTGATGTAAGGTTGCGTAGTATTATGTTCAGATGTTTGTGTGTAATGTCTAAAGTCCTTGATTTCATTGGCACAGGCATGCTGTTTCGTGCTCCAAAGTTGGTTTTCTAAAAAATTCATGACTGGATGGTATATATTTAATTTCAGTTGGATTTTGACATACTCCAATTTATTATGAATTTCTGGTTGAACATGGTGTAATATTTAACATTGAAAATGCAGTGTGGTGTTATTTCCGGTGGCTGTTACATTTTTTGTGACTTGGTGGTTCATTCAATTTGTTGATGGTTTCTTCAGTCCTCTGTATGCTCAGCTGGGTGTTGACATATTTGGTAAGTTTATATATCTCTGTATTTCATGCATGAAAATGCATCTCTTGTAGATAATTTAATCTGGTTCTGGTTTACTATATTACTATCTTGAGACATATCTCATAAATTTATATCCCTTTCTCCAGTCAATAACCTTTGAGATAAATGCATTGCGGCCATGTTCTGGACTTTATCTTTGATCGTCTTTCTTCTTACCTTCTCCAGTAAGGGAGTGGGGGGCATGGTTCTTGAGCAAATTTGTTGTTGTGCAGGACTTGGATTTGTGACATCATTGCTTTTTGTATTTCTTGTTGGTGTATTTGTTTCATCATGGTTGGGCGCTACGGTTTTCTGGATCGGAGAATGGTTTATAAAGCGAATGCCCTTTGTGAAACATATTTATTCTGCCTCCAAGCAAATCAGTTCTGCAATTTCTCCTGGTAAAAACTTAAAAACTCATCTTTCTTTTTGTGTTTTTACATATATAATGAATAAGATCACCTAGACTGCAAAGCTTTGTACATTTTGTTGCTTTGATGAAATGGATGTCTCATCTTAAACTGCTTTCATAGGCTTTTGTTTTAATAAATTTGTGATCTGTATTGATTCTGCTTCTGTGGATTGAGCATGTCTTTATGGTTTCCTCACGTATATTATCAAAATATGTTGCGTTTATTTTGCTTGATGGGTTTCAAATATGGTGCTTACTTTGGATGATTTTATAAATTTTATGTTATAATTATCCAAAGTAAATATGACCCTAAAGTATCATGTCAAGTACTTCCTCATGTACATATTTTCATCATCAGTAAATTATTGACTATAAACACGAAGAAAACACTTTCAGTTGTGTGTTAAGCATCCTACATCAAACCAGCTGAAAAGTTAGATCATTTTTTATTCATGCAGTATTTGTGGAAGGGTCCCCATTTCAATTAGAGAATTCCTAATAGTAGTCTCCCTAACTGATGAAGTAAGCTAACATAATTTATATAAAACTGTAATGCAAAACCATTGCGTATTGGCCTACCTCAAAGATGGGGCATGACATGTGCAACGGAGTTTGAGATTCTTCCTTACGAATCTCCAGTTCCCCAGCAATTTTCTTTAAATGGGGGATTTATCTGATTCAGATCCACTGTTTGCATTTACACCTCATGTTCGTTGCAGATCAAAATAAAACTGCATTTAAGGAAGTTGCCATTATACGCCATCCTCGTGTGGGTGAATATGCATTTGGCTTTATCACTTCATCAGTTGTTCTTCAGGTATTGTTGTGCTTTTTCTGTTTGGTGTTGAATCAATAGTATCTTTTTTAAAATTAAATTATATACTTTACTATTTGTATGAGTAATAAGTAATTTTATTAAATTTTTTAATATAATTAATTAATTTTTCTATTCCTATGACATGCCAGCCATGAGAATTAAAAATTAGTTTATTACTAGTTATTGAATTCCTAGTTACATTCATCACTTTGGACCAACAGTCTCCTTTAATTTATGGGACAAAAAGGTTCAATCCTACCAGTTATAACTAGAGATGGTACCAAGAGGTTACAAATTTTAGAGATGAGAATGTAGAGTAGGATGGCGATTGATCGGCCTAAGATTTTTCGGTTTGAATAACTGGGGTCAGGTACATATAACTTCTTATATTCTATATCTAACTCCATTTAAATTTAATTAGTGTTGAGTAATAATCTTTCAAAAATTAATAATCAGTTTAATAACGATTATATGTTTTGATAATAAAATATTAATACAATTTGATTTGATAATAAACTATCTGATTGAGGTAATCTGATGGGACAATTCAAGCAGTGTCACACTTCCTGATTCTTTAAACTGGGCAGTTCAATTGTTATATATTCATGAGAGTGTGTAACTTTTAAATGCAAATTAGTGCTGCGGGAGAAGGGAAAACTGAAACGGAATCGTGTGGAAAGAGTTCTTGACTCCCACTCCCACCCTCCCGGTGGATGCATAATTTGATGTGATAGGATATGACAGTGATTTTTGGCTTGTGATGTTTGGAATCAGGGAGACGACGGAGATGAAGAACTATGCAGTGTTTTTGTTCCAACAAATCACTTGTATATTGGAGATGTGCTGTTGGTTAACTCCAAGGATATCATCAGACCGAATCTTTCTATCCGTGAAGGGATAGGTTAGTGTTTTTTTGTTTACTTTCCAAACTGTAGCAAGTCTCTGAACTTCATTATCATGTCATGCTAATTGGTGATGTTTGCAGAAATTATTGTGTCTGGGGGTATGACGATGCCCCAAAAGATCACACCGATCACCCCAGTGGATCGTCGAATTGGTAGGGCAGGTGAAAGAGTTGCCCTGGGCAGACTAAACTAACTAGTTAAGAGTGAACTACTACAATTGCTTCTTGTGGTTAGTGTTGTGAGCAAAAAAGGAAAAGGGAGGAATTGAGCATCAGTGTTATTATTATTATTTTTATTTTTCAATCTCAATTCTTTCTTCTAAACAGAGTTTAGTACATTGTAACTCTATGGTTCTTTTTTAACTGAAGTGTTTTATATGTATACATATATATATATATATATATATTTATATAGGCTAGTAACTCGGCCGTGCTACGTCACTCGTCGATACAAAATATAAATTTGCATTGTTGAAGAGATTGTAGCCTAAGTGGCTAAATTGTTCTTTCTTGCATTCAACATTCTCAAAACTACCATCAAAAGAACTCTTTGGTTGAACCATTAGATATTTTTTCTCAAACTTTGAAGTCGAATACTATTTTATTAAAACCAATAGGCACAACTAATATCAAATTTAATTTTATCAATTATCTATTAGAAATAATTCTTGATACACATGTAGAAAAAGGCTAAGAGGAAAAGGCAAAAAGAAATCTCAGTCTCTAGAATCCCAAATATACTTTTGGTGGTAAGTATAATTAAAAAAATATATATATTCTATGACAATAATACAAAAGCTCCAAAATACAACCATAAAATATGCTATTACAATAACACTTAAGCTCCATTACATTTGAAAGCACAACTTTACCTCTACCTCAGCATATTTCTTAAGAAAGTGGTGTAAAAAGTAGATTACTTATAGAACTGGCAAAGGGTCGTGTTGGTTTTAATATTTTAAACGGGTTAAATTACTCAATTCTAACCCGACCTGTTTATTATCGTGTCGGATTCATGTTGATCCGTTTATTATCATGTCGGGTTCGTGTTAATCCGTTTATTATCGTATTGGATTCGGATTGACTCGTGTTGATCCGTATACAGAATTAACTCGAAACTTTTTATTTAAATTAAATTATATTTTGTCGTGTTGTCGTTTTATATTAATTTTTATTAGTTTGAGTGTAATATGTACAATGCATTAGGTTAAATTATTTAAAATTGAACTTAGTCTAAATTAATTTATGAACAAATCATTAAATTATAATTATTTTACATAATATAATAAATATATTAATCAATATTAATATATTATAATCGGATTGTCATGTCGAGTTCATATCAATCCGTATACATAATCGGATTGAAATCTTTGACCCAAACTCAATTATTTCGTATCAGATTGTAGCGTCGGATCAGCTCTTGTCGGCTCTAATTATTTGTCACAAATAAGTACTTGAAATTCTCGTGTATCCTACTTATGTGCAATCTTCTCACTGCCAAAAACACATCAATTACATCACAGAATGCAGGCAAATATGTCATCTCCAACTGTAATTAATAGTACAGAGAAGAAGAAACAATGATTAAAAGCTAATATGATTTTATTTTACTAAGACATAAAAAAATCCATCCTTTTCTAACTCAACTGCAAAACTATTAAATTTTACACTTATCTAAAATCCTATCATATTAAATATATATCTGAGTAACTAATAGTGACATTTTGTTATTTGAATAACTACAATAAAAGACCAATTCTTGATCACCGGCAGCAGCAGTGGTAGATAAACAAACTATTACATATTATTAGACTTCATTAAGGAAGACATAGAAAGCTGAGGCAAGAATTAACAACCAAAAGGAAAGTGTATGTTAGGCCATAACTAAGAAAGCTAAGGCAAGAATCAACAACCAAAAGGAAAGTATATGAAAGGCCATAAATAAGAAAGCTAAGGCAAGAAAATTTCCTCAATACAAAGTTCAGTAAACTATAGATAATCACACTTCATAGAAGAAAGATATTGTAACATTGCAAATATTGTTATGACATAAATTTAACAAGAGAAGTACAGTAACTTCAAAAAATACTATAACTATTACAAATTTAATAAACACAGCTAAACATGCAGATATACATAGACACAATCCCAAGGGCTTGAGATATTTATAACAAGTAAAGCACCAAGCTCACATTAGTAAATTAGGTAAATGCCTGAAGAATAGCAACTCCAAAGAAACTAACAGTTTTAACAATTATATTTATAATATGCATATATTAAGTGAATGATTGTCATTATTCATTAAAGCTGTAAGCAATCGAAATACATGACATAAAAAAAAAAATTATTCATCTAATCATAAATCATCAAACATAGCCGTTGAGATGCCGGTGCAAACTTTTTCATAGTCCCTCGCATCCTAAACATCTTTCCTACATGAACAATACTGCATAGTTATTTTTATCAGAGAGTTCCCCACTTATAAAACAATATCAATGGCAACCTCACTTAAGCAATTACAATATTCTTGAGAGCACACCATGTAATACTTACAGAACTTTTTGTAGAGAAATCTTTCAACTGTTCAAGTCAATCTTTACACAACCAGAAATGATAATATGCACAATAGCAATAAAACTAATTATTTATAAGCAATAATAAGTATATATTTCTGTCAATGGTCACTGATTCATCAACCCAATAGTAGATAAATAATAAATATCTTAAGCTGTCGCTCTTATTATTGCTATTATATTGATTTATTTTATTAAAATTTATTATTTTGACAAATTTAAAAACACGGTATACACAACAGAATAGACATAAATTATAAGATTGGTTACAGTACTGATTTTTGAAGCACGGTACACACAACATGTTGTGTATAATAAAGGTATGTGCTATTTTTTAATAATAACAAATGTGTTGTATACAAGTATGTCATGTGCTAAAATCAACTGTTGTGTGTGTTGTATGGGACTATAGCATGTGATGTATTTGTATTATATTAACATAGACAATGAGCTGTCTGTAGTAATATTTTGTGCCATTGAGACTATAGCATGTATTTTTTTGTTCATGTGTTGTATTTGTATTATATTAGCATATACAATGTGTTGTTTGTAGTAACATTATGTGTTGTCTAATAGTACACGATGTGTTATTCTATACAATGCTGAATCTTAAATTCAACGTTGTAGCCGCCGCTATAAATTATATATATAATCATGCTAAAAACCAATCTTATTATTAACATCATGTATAACAGCAGCGAGAAAGCCTAAATCCATTGCGGCAAAGAAACTTTCAAGCAGCTTCTGCTTGACTCATCCACTTTACGCCACCATTTCTACATCATTTTTATCTTTTAACAAAAAATAAGCATTAAGCATAATATTTTTAAAAAGGCTTACTGGTGAGAATCTAGCATCCTGTTGACTTCCACATACAACACAGTTTAGGGTTTAGAAACACAAGTTATATGTAGGCAAATTAATCTTTCCTTAAAATAACATCAATTGGTTTTCTTGAAAAAAACCAAAAATTATAGGTCTAACAATAAGTTGTAGTATAATCTAACAACTATTGGGGTTGCAACTTCATTAAATTTGGGATAGTAGCTCAAAAAGGGAAAAATATCTAGTGTTCATGCATAAGCATGGAACATGAAGTGGAACTTCATGCAAGAACATAAAGATAGCCTCGCTTGAGGTCATGAAATATGGCATCGCTAGCTACTGCTGGGATCGGATCGTATAATTGAATTTTGGGTAATTCAAAATGTTATAAATTTCTGCATTGCAAAAGTTTATAAGAAAGTTCTAAAAAATATTACGCCAATAAAAATGTATGCACAACCATGGCGAGAATACTTAAAAGAAGAAATGATGAGATACCAAATTGCAATTGCATCAGTAGATCTAGCTTAAGACTGTGTTGGAAATGGGGATGCTAATAAAATAAGAGGTCCAACGTCTCAAAGTAAACATAGTTTTACAATGTGATTGTCTCGCGGTTGAAACTACAATGTGTGGTCATGCACAGATCGATGGCTAAATAAATGCATCAAAGAACAACACACAAGGTTTTTACCCAGTTCAATTTTCCAACCAACGTCTGAGGGATTCTAATCCAGGAGTCTTAACTAAGTCAAACTCTTAGTCCAAACAAGACATCCAACAACTCTACCAAACTTATCTTTTACCCAAGCTCCATTCAGTTTTACAAACTCTAATGGACTAGTTGTTACAACTCGTAACTACTTCAGCAGACCAACGTCAAGCTAAGAATAAAGTGGCATACCAATTGGTTGTCTCCTTCGACTTCGACTCCAAAAATCCTTTTTTTCGTCACTTCAAACTTCCATGAATGAACCTTTTAACACTATGTAAAGTGAAGAGAAAAACGCACTTAGAGTGTTCTAAATCATCCACGATTCAAACACAAAACATACAAACAAAATACACACTACACACATAAGACAAAGTTGACTGAGTGCAGGGTTTTTTGCAGTGTGTACAAGGTCATAGATGCCATGCAGGGTGAAAGAGACACTTCATTGACATCTCCTGCACGTGTCTTCACAGGGCATATTTGTTTCTCATTCCAACGTGTATAGGACATATTTGAATACATCCAAAGTGACCAACTCGGTTAACATTTTGTCTGTGAGCAGGTTTCGCGAAATGGTGTCTAAAAATAGATGCAAAAAAAAGTTTTGGCAATTTGGATATTCCAATAATCTCCCCCTTTTTGGCATATGAAGCCACAGACGGCTTTAACATCCGAATGTTGTAACATCAGTCAAACACCAACAGTTTATCAAAAACTCAATTAACATAATAAAAAAATGGCAAAAGGCGGATGGCAATACTTAGTACTACTAAGCACTCCCCCTCTACAGCACACACTCCTATGTCTTGTTGCATCTTCTCCCCTTGTATTGTAGCAAAGCCTAAAAAATAAGGGGTCAAAGGTCAACTTCCTCCTTACCATCATCATCGTTGGGCACCTCGTCTTCCTCATCAAAGGCACTGGGATAACGAGGTAGCAGCCTCAAGACTTGTGCTACTTTCCTTTTCTGAGTTATGAGGGCAACAAACAGAGAACAATGTTCCTTCATTACTTTATTCTAACAACTCTTTACATTTCTCCACTCGGGCATCAGCGTCAAGTGGGCACCGAGGAGAAAGTCATTATGAAAATTTTTTAGGTTGGACTGGGCTAAAAACGATTGAATGGGAAACACTTCCTCATCGGGTTCAGGGTGAATTCCCTTGGAACTCAAAATAGACAAATCAAGCCCAGATAGGGCAACTGTGTCCAGGCGACTTTTGAATTAGAACAAAAGTCGATCATCTTCTTGACACCAGATAGCCAAAATTAATTAGCTCTAAGTGTTTATCAA